GAGTATGGATTTTCATAAACACGCTGAATGTTGTTTCAGAAAGCATGAAGAGAAAGCAGTTGTTTATTTAATTTGCTACATATTTGCTTTACTGACTTTGGATTGCTGTATGTGTTATGTACAGTGTAAAAAAAATTAAACTTTCACAACATTTATCTAATGGTCTGTTTGCTTTGTTTCTTCATGAACAACTTTCCCAGAAAACCCACCAAAAATGCCATTTATATGCTATGTTTTTGCTGCAGAAAAGTCACTAATTGAAAACGTCACACCAGGCTTTTCTTAGTAGTTCAGTGAGAGTAGCTTTAATACAAAAAGCTCTGTATGTTCATCTGCGAAGAGGAGACAGAGAGATGCCCCCTGGCATATCCCCTCCCTGCTTAAACCATCAGCCAGCAGAACTGCAACACACTAAGTTCACAGTTTTCACAATGCTAAAGCCAATTCAGGAGTGTGGTACGTGGTTTGCAGAAGAGGTTGGGTTTTTTCTCAGCTAATTCTTTACATTACATTGCTAAGCATTGGTGCATTACTGTGTCCTAAGTAAGTGCATCGACACCGACTTAAAAGATGTTCCTACTCACTGTGTATTACAGTGATGGTCAAACAAGCTACATCCTTGTGCAAAACCTGCGAGGCCACTGTACATATAAATATATACATCTAATAATTTAAGTGTTGGGAATGTTTCTTTCATTTGCTAATTCCCATTTCCTGTTCTCCTTCCAATGCATTAACCTTCTGCACTGAGGTCTTACCAGACATTTGTCGGTGATTTAATATTGCATTCCAGATTCTGCAGCAGAGACCACCCCTAGATGAAGGAAAGTGGAGAACAGTTAGGAAAACTCCCTCATCTCTGTTGCCTTAAAGTGAGCAAGAAGTAAAATCTAGTCCCAAGGATATAGCAGTTACGACAGTACATAGCAAAGACTACACTTCTTCAAGGTTATAGCCAGAACTTCTTCCAGATTAGCCTAGGGTTAGCAGCATGATAAGAGGACTTGAATCAAGGAAAAATAGGTTCATTATGCCTATTTTCCATATGATTACATCATCCTGAAGGGTGTAGAAATAGCTCCCAACCCAGATAAATGCCAAAACTCAGTTTGCAGCACCCTCAGTGTAGCTGACACAACTAAGATGTGAAAAATTTTACAGTAAATCTGAGATGACAGTGACAGCAGTGCCCACTGAACTGTCACTGCCTGATCTGAATAACCAGACTTCAACAGGATTTTTTTAAAAAGTATGTTAATTAAGCTCTTAACAATGAACTAAGGAGGACTTTCTTACCGCAGTTGAAGGTATCGTAAATCATCTTTGGTGATATCATTAAGGACTGCACTTAGTGTATAATCTTCTTCAGCAAACTAAAAGGCAAATTTATCAATAAATTAATCCTCATTTGAAACCAAGCTGCTAATTATGACTACAATGGCCTTTTGTTAAAGGTGATTTTTCTTTCTTTTTTTTTACCCTCTTAATGGCATCCAAGTCTGCTCCATGTTGTTTCAGCCAGTTCGTGAGCTCAGGGTCTGCATTGTCCCTAGAAGTTACTGCAGACTTTTGGGAGTCTAACAGAAAATGAACACAAAGGTTTATATACCTCAAAACTAGGAATAAAGTAGTCACTTTCAGGTTACTGAAGCTTAAACTATATGTTTGTTTATCCTTTCCCCAAACACATGGCCCCATATATCTGCATGCAGCTGTCAGAGTATGCAGTATCTCCTCCTACCTTTGGGTTTAAGTTTTAATTGAAGCAAGTGTAATTCCTGAGTTTTCTGCTCCAAAGATTGCCGTAAGAGGGTTTGATACTCCTTCTCCTTCTGAACAAGGTTTTCCAAAAGCCTGTTAGCATATGAAAGAGATAAAACACAACCACACTGAGGATAAGCATAGCTGAAAAAAATGTCATTTTTAATGACTATCAAAGGACAGAGACACGGCAGAGATACTGTCTTAAGTGGCATTTCTTATGGCTTTCAGATTTCATTTGGTTGTCTGAAACTCACTTAGCAGTGGCACTTTAAGGCTTTCACCTGCAGAATTTAATAAATAGCTTGTAAATTCTTTTCCTATAGTTTTGTAGCATCCCTGGGCAGAGTTGCTGCCTTTATACTGTAATTTACTATTCAGCAGTATAACACTGATGTTTTACCAGGGACTTTCTGATCACAAATGTACATCCCATCCACAAGGAAGAATGGGACCTTCAGCTGTTCACACACCAGCAGCAGCCTATGAATGTCACCCGTGAGAAACAGTGCAGATAGCTCTGCTTGTGCTCATGAGTGGGCAGCCTGTCCCATGAGCCAGGACTGAGCTTTGAGGCACTGACACTGAGTCAGGTCCAAGGTAGCAGGAAGGAAACCAGCACAGTTGCACAAATCTAGTAACTTAACAGTAGAAATCCAACGTGACATTCTGCAATGAAAAAATTACACAGAAACAAAACTGTACTGAAGGCTGTTGAGTTGTCATACCAGTACTGCCAGAGTATTCCAAATCCATTTGTGTTCCTGGAAGGGCCAATAGGTGAGCAGTATTTATGTTAAGTATGTATGTCACTGCAGAGAACAACATCTGAGAGCTTCTCAAAGACCACAGTCTTTATAGGAGGGTTACCTTATGGTCTCCTGCTTCAGTGTGCTCAGCTCCTGGCTGAGGTGCTGCTGAGCCTCATGTGACACCACAGAGCTAAGTGTGCTGACTCCTGATGTGATGGCAGTATCCTCAGCTTCATTTTGTTCCGAGGGCTGGAAACTGTCCTCCACTTCATCAGTGTCCTTGTCCCCCCCTTCAGTCTCTGATGCTGGCTCAAAGTGAGTGCGAAGCTCTGGTAAAGGAAAGGGTAAAAATAAGGAGGTTTTTTGACAAGTCTGTCTTCAGAGGGGTTGCAGTTTGTTCTGGTGGGGGAGCTTCAGCTGGGGCAGTGGGCTGATGGCACCATGTGCTTTACAACACCACTCAGCAGGGGTGGAGCAAAGCCTTGGACAAGCTGCACCACAGATTCTCTGGTATCAGTTCCAAAATGAGTGGTGCTGTAGTGCACCAGTGGGGGTAGGTAGCAGTAGATTACAGTCACAAAGGGGAGAAATGTGATGAATAATAAGACAGTTAATAAAATGTTCATGAGAAACCCCTGCAAGCTTGGGTTTTTTTCCTAAATAGTAAAAAAAATAATTGTTTTCCCCTAATGCCCTGGACCAGAGTTTACAAAGCCTTTCTCTTTTCCAGGTAGCATTTCCAACTCCTCAGAACTTCCTGCAGAAGCCCACCCTTCTCACCCAAGAATAGCTGCCATTTTTCTTGTACAAACAAAGTCCTAAAGTTTTAATTTGGCCAATTTGGCTTTAAAAGCCTTGGCAATTTTGGACTGAACAGGCTCACCATCACTAAGTGCTCTCAGAACTTAAAGAAGTTACAAAAATACTCGCAAAATTTCCAACTTAACCTATTCCTAGGCAGTTCTTAGTCATTTATCCTCCTCCTCCTGGTGATTTTCCCTGATGGCCATCTGTGGGGCAGATTCACCCCCCTCCTCTGCACTTCCTTCTGCACATCTGTTTCACAGCACAGCAATAGTTTTTCAGAACACATAACCAGACCTGTGCAGTGTTACCCATCCTGAATGTCATTAACGTGTTTTACAGATTTTCTTTCTTAGTAGAAAATCTCCAGCTTAGAGTGAATTTAATTTGCCTTTTTTTTGTCATGGTTAGACCACACTGGGGGTGCAGAACCACTGAGTTATCTCCTCATTATGTGCTTTTGTCCTGCAAGTACAGCATTAATCCTCTAGATCAACACTTCTTTCTCTGCAACATCCTGACCCTGTGCTTTTGATGACGGGCACATGGGATGCAGTTAATGGCATGCTGACAGATTAAACATCTAATCCATTTGCTGTAACTCTTTGATATACGGAAAACCTTTTTTAAAAAAAAAGAATTCTTTTCAGCTGCTTTGATTTACCTGGAATAAGAATAGTGACTGCTGCTTGGACTGCACGGCGAATGATGTTATCCATGGCAAACATCCAGTGGGGTCTTATTAAGTGATTCCTTAATACTTTGTTCACCTGTAAAAGTAGAAGAAAACATTTGCTTCCACCTTAAGAAAGATAATCTTGTTTTTCAGTAGTCATAGTAAGCTTTATAAGGTAACTTGTAGTGTCTTACTCTTAGTGCATGTAGCACTAAGACCCTCCCACCTTTGAAAGCCTAAACAACAGATTTGTTTTAGGCTACAGCTTTCAAACCATTTCCAACCAGACTGTGACATTCAAGCCCCTCTACAGTACACACAGGAAGAGGATTGAGGAAGAGTGGGGCAGTGTGAACCCCTGGGGTGAGCTCTGTCCAGGAGCAACATGATGTAGTGGGAGGTGTCCCTGCCCATGGTAGGGGGGTTGGAAATAGACTATCTTTAAGGTCTCTTCCAGCCCAAACCATTCTGTGATTCTATGAAAAAATCCTCTTCCTGCGCACTAGCAAAGGAACTCACAGCATCCTGAAATCCAAACAGCACCAGATGAATCTGATTGATGGAAGTGCTGTCAAAATCCAAATCCATTTTCAACTTGGATATGGTAGAAGCCATCACCCTCTGCTCTGGAGAGTGTATGAAGTCCCTTAAAATCCCAATAATCTGCTTAATGTGGACCACTGAAAGCTGCAATTCTTCAGAGCTCTGGGGAAAAGATAACGAATGCATATCAAGTAAATCCCAGAGTCATTAAATATCTAATTAGAAAAATATTTTTAGGGTTACATAGCTTTGCTTATGTATATTTCACATTGATGAAAAGGAAACATGGAACTCTTGTTTCTGGAAAGTCTCTATTTTTAACCTTTTCCTAACAAAAATTTAAATAGTAATTTCTATTTTCAAAAAAATAAATGAAGTCAACTGCTGCTGAGGCTGACACAAAGGGAATAGGTTCCAGATTATTTCAGCAATGTACTG